CTTTTCTTTATTTATTTATCTATTTTTTTTGAGATGGAGTCTTGCTCTGTTGCCCAGGCTGGAGTGTAGTGGCGTGATCTCGGCTCACTGCAAGCTCCACCTCCCAGGTTCACACCATTCTCCTGCCTCAGCCTCCAGAGTAGCTGGGACTACAGGCACCCGCCACCACACCTGGCTAATTTTTTGTATTTTTAGTAGAGACAGGGTTTCACCATGTTAGCCAGGATGGTCTCGATCTCCTGACTTCATGATCCACCCACCTCGGGCTCCCAAAGTGCTGGGATTACAGGCATGAGCCACTGCGCCCGGCGGAACATCAGAGATCTTAAGAGAAGACCTCCTGCAATTTTCTTTTGTCCTGTAAAGTAGTCTCGCTTCTAATGGGGTCGAAACAGTGTGGGAGTAGATTGGGAAAGCGAGATGGAAGACAATGGGGAACAAAAACATTTGGGATGTGGGAGATTTAGGAAGAAAGGAGAGAGTGAGAATAAACCTCAGATCCCTAAGTAGCCCCTTGGGATGAAAAGATGGACAGGGAAATTATGGGCATTGGGGTTGTGACTCAATCCAGCAACAGTACAGTCCTGGGGCTGGGGCCAGCCTGCTGTACAGTGATGGGCTGGCAGCCTAAGCTCAGCACGTGGGAATGAGCATGGGGGAAGCAAGCCCCTTTAACTTCACACAGTGACTTACCTGAGGGGCAGGAGGGCAGGTTGCTTTCATTAGTGATGTTGGTTCAGGAGAGATGTTTTGGTCAGCCTGAGGGATTGCATTCTGTGGGAAGACATAAAGAGCAAGCACAGGGGCTTTCACTGGCCAATCCCATATCTGCTCATGCAAATAAGCCACTGTGTCCCAGAATCAAGTCACATCAATAGTTGAGTGCTGTTAAGCAAATTGCATAACTTTTCTAAGCCTCTGTTTCCTCTTCCGTGAAATGCAAAATATAACAGTGCTTATCTCACAGGATTGTAGTAAGGAGTTAATAACGTAATAATAGAATATCTAAAGGTACCTAACACATAGTAAATGTTCAAGAATGCTAGGCATAGTCCTTACCAATGCCATTGCCATTGATTCTAAGAGTCCCAAAAAGCATACAGAGGGCAGTGAGTGGAGGACACATCTTCCAGTTAGAGATTGGAATCTGGGGAGGGGTTAGGAAATGGCTTGTGGTCTAATAACAGGATTGAGAGTCAGGGATATAACTTCCACCCTCATCCCCATATCAATTACCCAGTTTGCTGAGAGCAACTCTAATATTTTTGCTCACAACTAACCGTAAGGAGCACTAGGCATCCCCTGCAGGCATAGTTGGAGAAGGAGGATGAGAAGAAGGAGGTAGAAAGAGGTCTGTGTTTTGTAAAAAGGCAGCATCCTGAGCTGAAGGTAAAAATGAAGAGAAGATGAAAAGCAGCTCCTGGGTTCATAGGGGAGGGGAGGGAAAGCAGCAGGGAAGGTAGGAACAGGTACTGTAGGGAGCAGGGAAGAGGCAGCTGTCATGCTTGGGAGGCCTGGGTCCCCTTCCAGCACTCCTACGAAGCAGAGATGTCAGGAAGGTAGCCTTGCTCAGGTTCACCTGCCAGACTGAGGAAGGAGCTGATAAGGATGGGAGGACAGGGACTTTTCCCATCTGGCAGTGTGTCTGGTGTGGCATTCTCCCCCCTCCACCAACACACACACACTCTGGCAATACCTAGGAACTAAGGTAGTCTGGGAGGGTCAAACTTTTAGATTGAGCCTGGGACAATCTCCAGTGTGTGTCCTGAGAGGTCCCAGTTGCTGTCGCTCTGGTTCTCTGCCTAAGGAATTCTTCCTGCTTTTCTTTCTCCTCTCTTTTTTTCTTGGCAGCCCCACAAGCTCGGCGGCTACTTTGCCAGAAATCGCCCAATTGGATGATATACCTCATTGTAGGCCTTTTGTTCATTCCTTCACTGGGAAAAGGTGCAGAGAGTATGATCTAAGGGCCCTTATTGTCATCTATTCAGATAACATGACATTGCCCTTGACTAATTCTCTCCATAGACCAATAACAAAAAATTCCAGCTGGGGGAGACATAGAATTAGAATGGAGGCTCCATTAAGGCAGTAATCTTTTCCTATTTCAGCAACCACTGCAGCCCAGTGCCTTTGTATACAGAATTTAATAAATGTTTGTTAAATGCGTGAATAAGAATACTTTTTATTTAGTTAAGAAGAAAAATAGTTTCAGTTATTTCAGAGTTTGTTCAGTGGTAGAATAACGTGGTTACAGCCCCAGGTTCTTTTTCCTCTTTCTGCTTCACCATGCTTACAGTTTTGGCTCAAAAGTCACAGGGTGATTGAACTAACTCCATGGACACAAGATAGCTGCCACAGCTCCAGACATCACATCCTCACACCAACAGCCCAAGCAAGAAGGGGCATGGACAATTTTGAGTCTCTGTTTTTAATTCAAGAAATGAATTCTTTCTCGGGAGGCCCAAGCAGAACTTTCCCATGTCTTCTTGGTCTGATTTGGGTCACCTGCCACCCCATGCAACCCCCCTCCACGCAAAGGTGGCTAGAAAAAGAGATTTGGCCAAGAGAAGTAAAAGTTCTATTATTGGTTTAACTAATATTTTATCCTTCAGGACCAGACACATCAATACCCGGAATGACATTAAGATTCTGTTAACACTGAGAAAGGGGAAATGGGCCACCAAGTGGGCAGCTAATTCTATCGGACAAAGCTACAAAATCTACTTTTGCTTCTGCTATTGTTAACCTCTCTGACCTCCATCTTCACTCTCTGGCTTTTCTTTCTCGGAGTGCCCTCTGATGAACAGCTATTTCTCCTACTGACACCTTGAGAATGAAACCCAGGGATCTCCGTTTAAAATAACATTTGTTCCTCAACGACCAGGATTGAGGTAAAGGAAGAGGAATAGAAAGCAAAAGAAGGAGCTGACTCAGACTCAGAGCTGGACCCAGTAGTAGGCACATTGTTCATTGTAACTCCTCCACGGGCCAGGCACTGTGCTATGCACTGGGGAGTCAGTGGTGTGCAAGTTAGGTAAAGTTTTCTCTTTCGTGGATTACATGTTCCAGTGCAAGAGATAGTGAATATATTCGTAAATAGACTATGAAGTCAACACTGAGAAGCATCATGAAAAAAAAATTTAAAACACAGGGCAAGAGGTAGAGGTGATGGCAAAGGTTTTCTGAAAAATAATTGAACACTGACCTTGTGTGTGAGAACTGTGTAACTATCGGGGAGACAGGACATAGGAAGGCCTTAAGGTGGGAGGGTGGCTGTGACAGACAATACCGAGAATGCAGATATGCCAGGGTGAGCAAGGGTCAGAAATGAAGTTAGAGATATCGCCAGTGACCAGGGGATGCAGGATTTAGTTGACCTTGAGATTTTATTTTTTCATGTAATGGAAATCACTAGAGTTGAACAGGAAAGTGGCATTATCTGTTTTGTATTCTAAAAGACTCACTGCAGTTGCTATAAATAGGAGTATAGCTATTATTATAATAATTAACAGTATATATTTGAACAGAACAGTTATAACAAATTTTTATAAGTAATTAATAAACCCAAACAATATTTCATAATTATATTTTGTAACATGAGAAAGATAGAGCTTCTCCTCCCACCCAAGTAGTTTATATACTCATGGACAAATAACTTTGTTTGGCTAGAGTGAGATAAAGTCTAGAACCATTATATTCCTATATTTCTTTTTTTTTTTTTTTTTTGAGATGGAGTCTTGCTCTGTTGCCCAGGCTGGAGGCTGGAGTGCAGTGGCATGATCACAGCTCACTGCAACCTCTGCCTCACAGGTTCAAGCAATTTTTCTGCCTCAGGCTCCTGAGTAGCTGGGACTACAGGCACGAGCCACCATGCCTGGCTAATTTTTTTGTATTTTTAATGGAGACGGGGTTTCACCAGGTTGGCCAGACTGGTCTCGAACTCCTGACCTCAAGTGATCCACCTGCCTTAGCCTCCCAAAGTGCTGGGATTACAGGCATAAGCCACCACACCCAGCCATTCTTAGTATTTCTTTTCATAGTTGTCAGTTTTGACATATCCACTACTTAGAATTAAGTAGATAGAAAGAAAAAGTATTTATTGTAGTAATGCCATTCAATTTGTCCAAATTCCTTTTGAATGATTTGTCAACAATCTCACACACCACCTTACTATTACAAATTATTTTTGGTAATTCATCAATTGACAACTGGATTATATCCTCCTCCAACCCTATAAAGACCAAACCATGGAAGCCTCCCAAGCTGTGAAAGGACTTGTTACCCCGTCACTGGATCATTCATACACTCAACATGGATGCCCATCTTTTTAATCATTTCTTGTTTGGCATTCTGCAGATTTTTATATTCCAAGATAATAAGATTCAGTGACAGGTGAGGGCTGTGGTTTTCTTTTGTTATGTGGTAGAAAGGCAATGGTGTGAAAGAAGTCACCTTGATCAAAGCACATCTCAGGCACTTGAATTTAGTCAAGAGTACATACACATACTGAAAATCTAGAACTAGATTCCCTTGAAGCTACCCCTGCTTGCCCATCCCTTGAAAAGTCTTCTCACACATAGCGCAGAGCCTGTTTTTCTAGTTGGTGAGCTCTGTAGGGGTGTGTTATTTTATTTCTCTTTACCCCATACCAAGCAATATGCCTGGCACAGCCATCTTTTTGTTAAAAAATGAGGGAAGTGGGGGTTTGGAGTGTCCGTTTGCTTTTCCCATTCTCCCCATATCTTTCCTAACTTCCCATCCCACTTCCCAAACTGAGATGTCACCACTGGGACACTGACAGCATTTTCTGGCCAGGGGAGTCCCAAGCTGGGGACCATAACAGTGATAACATAAACACAGAGAGGTATAAAATTTGTCTTTATTACCCAACAATCAGGACTGGAACAAATGAAGGGGTATGTTTGAGTTAGATTTCCTGGTTGAGACCCTGGTTTCATTACTGTCACGGTCACAAAACTGAGTTCTCAGCCTCCTCCCTCTCAGGCCAGGTAGCAGCAGCGGGCAGTGGTCCAGTCCATCACACTGCACTGGCAGTGGCAGGTGGTTCCCCCCTGAACATCCCACGAACCACAGCCATAGCCACAAGCACAGCCAGTGACACTCATCCCTGCATGGGCACATGAAGCACAGCCATCAGAGCTCTTGGAATGTAAGAGGAGGAAGGGCAACCCACAACCATCTTTCAACACTGTGCAGTCAGGGGTAGAGCTAGGTTTCGTGGGACCTCAAGTTCATTCAACTTTAAGAGCTCATTTCAAGAAAAGAAATACAGATATCACAAAAACAAATATTTGGGGCCATGAAAGAGACTTATGCAAGTGAGAGACTTGGAACTTGGGAGTTTCAATTTTCTTCGATTTGTGATAAATTCACCTCTCTGTTGGCCCCTACCCATCAAAACAGGGGAATAGATTGGAAAGACAAATGAAGGATGTGATCATTATGGGACAATGGAGGAGAGGAAGGGCTGAGAAACAGGGGCATGAAGTGAAAGGGTGAAAGGAAGAGGCAGAAGCCCACGATCCCCCATTAGCATCCTTCAGGGAAACAAGAATGGGTAAGGGGTCTCTAGCAGGGTGCCAGGGTGATACAGACCTGAGGTGGGGGACGGTGTAGGTGCAGGGAGGGACAGGGGAGGACACGGGGCATCTTACTTACCCTCAAGGAGTTACTCGCCAGCAGGGCAAGAGGCCAGCCTGCCTTGGCTCTTGACACTAGTACACGAGAGCTTCTTGCTTACGGGAGAGGGACTGTACTCTGAGTAGGAAAGAAGAAGGGGTATATAGCCCATGAGCTATCCTCCCTATAATCCCCTTCCAAATCGTCTTCTACCTCGGAGGTGACACTGTGTCCAGAATCAGGCTACTCATCAACTTTTAAGGTTTAGTTTCCTCATTTTTAAAGGGGAAGTAATAGTTGTCCTTACCTCATAAAATGGTTGTGGGAATTAAATGAACTAATCTACATAAAGCTCGGATTATACCTGGTTCATAATGAGTGTTCATAAATTACAGCTACCATTCTCCACGTCTTCCTCCTCATCAGGAAAACCTTAGCTTTTAGCCAAGAGTTCAAACAGGGTTAGGGTAGTGTAGAAAGCCCTCATCAGGGGTTGGGCTTGGTTGGGATCTTGGGACAGGATAGAGACGAAGCTGGAGTTTAAGAACAGGAGAAATGAGCAAGGGTCAGCTCCCCGCTTCCTCCTACGCCAGTCAGTTACCTAGACGGTTGAGAATATCCTTGATCTTCTTATCCATAACGGAGTCTAAGGAACACTGAGTACTCCCTGGGATGATCAGCTGGAGAAGGGGGATGAGGATGAGAAGGTGGCAAGAGGAAGGCCCCATCCTGTACAGAGTCAGTGTCCTGGGGCTGGGAGAAAAGATGGAAGGCAGCTTAGATCTCTGAGCTCCTGGGTGGTGGTAAAGGAAAGAAGACAACGTGGTTAGTTTCCAGGGAGTAAAGATGGAAGAACAGCACCATCAGTACTGGATCTCTTTAGGCGCTTTGGAGAAGCAGGTAGGGTTGCTGAAGAACAGACTTACTCACCAAAACTTTCAGAGAAGGTCTGCAAGGACTAGCCAGGCAAGGGTGTTTTAATATGCCTGGTATTAACCTGGGCATCTTTAATATGCAAGCACACACACACGTAAACACACTCCCAGCACATTTTCAAAGACCTGTGCCAGCTAGGGTGACAGGTGACTGTGATAAACTTTGGAGTGTTCATGAGAAGCAATAGCTGCCTTTGCTCTGGATTGCTGCCGAGGGAGGCCTCCTGCCTGTTTGTTCTCCTTCTCCTTTCTTCTTGGCAACCCGATAAGGCTAGCACCTGGGCCTTCTGTCGCCTGCCGGTATTACAGGCTTCTTGTTTGATCCTTCATCAGGAAGAGGTTACTTTGCAGTGAACAAACAAATTAATCCACCCATCATCTATCCCAAACCCAAGTGTAAGCTCTGTCTTATCTCTGTTGGCTGAGGGAGGGCCCTACTCGTCACCTGTTCAGACACCATTTTATTGTCCCTGGCTAATCTCATTCATAGGAAAGTCACAGAAAGACTAATTAATCCTAATTATTTAAAATAAGGAAGTTCAGTATTTGCTTAACTAGAAGCGTGGTTTATGATTCCAGAGTTCTTCCAGGGGCTCGTAAAGTTCTCCTTTTTCCCCCACCATTCTCAGCTAATCTTTCGATCTTGTCTCTTCATAGCCACAAGGTAGAAGGTGCCAAATCCTCAGCCCAGACCCTGAGCAGGAAAGAAGGAGTAGGGCAAGGCCACTTTCTTTGGGGGCTTTACCTTTTCATTTTGAGAGCAGGATCTTTCCCTAGAAGCTCAAGAAGACTTCCCCTTACATTTCACTGTTTGGTTCTAGGTCACACAACCTCCCTTTCTGTCAGCTATGGCTGAAAAAGAGAGCTGGGCTTCACAATTCCTTATCCAAGACCTGGGGCCCAGGTGTGTTTCAGAACTCAGAATGTTCCAGATTATGGAAGGAGCAAATTCTCTGTATTATGTTATACCACTAAGGAGGTTGGGGGCAGCACTCTGCAGTCTAAATAGTCTGCAAAATAGTCTGCTGCAAAATGTATGAATATTAATGCAGGATAAATAAAGACCATAAACAGCCTCACACTAGGCCATGCCAAGTTTTTCTGCCAAATGAACCTCAAATTTAGGACAGAAAAATTTCATTTTTAGAGGCTTTTAGATTTTAGAATAATGGATAAGGGATCGAGGACTTTGAGGATTCACATATGGCCAAGAGGAGTGAGGATGCCATGATTCCTCATCTAGGATGGGGCATGTGGCCACCATGAATAAATAAAATTTAAAGAACAGCAGATGAAGAAGCAGAGAAAGGGGCCATGTGTTGTGGCTCATGCCCATAATTCCAATAGTTTAAGAGGTTGAGTCAGGAGGATCTCTTGACCACAAGAGTTAAAGACCGGCCTGGGCAACATAGTGAGACTCTGTCTGTTAAAAAAAAAAAAAAAAAATTGCTGGGTGTGGTGACATGCATCTGTGGTCCCAGCTATGTAGGAGACTGAGGCAGGAGGATCACTTGAGCCTCGAGGTTGCAGTGAGCTGAGATTGTTCCATTGCACTCCAGCCTGGGTGACAAAGCAAGACTTTGCCTCAAAAATAAATAAAATAAAATAAAATAAAATAAAATGAGAAGCAGAAAAAGGCAGTTAGGTGACTATTCCTGGAGGCAGTCAGAGCTGGAAAAGTTGGGCTCTACTTCTGTGGCCAGCCTTTCTACCCACTTTCCTGGAGATGCCCTGTAATGAACAGCTATTACTTGTACATATCTCTCTCAGGCAACTTTGAGAAATGAGGCCTAGGGATGCCAGCAAAAAGGCAAAGATGCTTCCTCAATTACCAGACAGGCGTTGAAGAGAAGAAAAATGCGACTGGAGAATAAGAAAGAGCATACACTTGGATTTGGGATAAATGATGGGTTGATTAATTTGTTTGTTAATTCAATGAATATTTGTAGAGCTTCTCTTTACCAGCTCTAGCTCTGGTGACTCAGTGGCAGACAACGTAGATAAAATTTTTGTCCTTTTGTTACTACATTCTAATGGGGGAGATAAATACAGTATATATATATATATGGTCAAGTATTGAGAAATACTCTAAAGAAAAATAAGTCAGGACAAGGCAATAGAGTGTGCCACTGTGCTATTGCCCATAACGCAGTATGTTCAGGAAAGGTGTCTCAGAAAAGGTAACAATGACCTGAAGAAGTGAGGGGGTGAATCATAGGAAAACCTGGGACAAATGTTCTAGCCTATGGAACAAGTATAAAGAGCCCACGGCAAAGAGATGTTGGTGTGTTGAAGGAATGACAACAATGGCAATATGGCCAGAATGAAGTATGGGGGGAGAGGCCAGAAAAGAGGTCAGAGAGCTGACCAGGGCTAGATTATAGAGAACTTGTAAGCCAATGTAAGGGCTTTGGGTTTTATTATAAATTTGACAGCAAATTATTGTAGTGTTTTGTTCAGGGGAGTGACATAAAATGATTTATGGTTTTCTAATGCTTAATTTGTCTCTTTTTTTTGGAGATAGCGTCTAGTTCTGTCACCCAAGCTGGAGTGCGGTGGTGTGATCATGGCACTACAGCCTTGAACTCCTGGGCTCAAGTGATCCTTGTGCCTAAGCGTTCCAAGTAGCTGAGACTATAATAGTGTGCCACCATACCAAGCTGTTTAAAAAAAATTTTTTTTGAAGAGACAAGGCCTTATTATGTTGCCTAGGCTAGTCTTAAATGCCTGAGCTCAAGTGATCCCCCCATCTTGCTTCCCAAAGGTGAAACTGCAGTTGTGACCCACTGTGCCTGGCCCTGATTAATGTTTTATAAAGCTTACTATGGCCATGGTGGAAGAGACACCGTGGAGGTAAAACGGGTAAGAGGTAAGCAGGGAAAGCAGGCAGCAGGCTTCTACAGAGTTCTAGGTCTCGGAGAGTAATCAAGGAAGGAGTGAGAACGGAGCCTCCACAGGGTTTGCTGATGGATGCAAGGTGTAGAAGAAACAGAGAAGTACAGATCTAGAGTTTTGTTTTGAATAACTTATTGAAGAGTGCTGCTATTTACTGAAATGGGGTTCCCTGGGAGAACAGTAGATATGGTGGGAACATAACATCATATTTGATCATAGTCAATTTAATGTGCCTATTAGAAATGTAGGGGGAGCTGTGGCATACAGAGTTAGGTATACAAATCTGGGATCCAGGGAAACAGTAGGAGTTGGAGATACAAATTTGCAAGTAACCAGTACACAGGTGGATCTATGTGCAGAGATACTCAATGGGAAAAAAGAAATATATTTGTTTTGAGTGAGGCACATAAAGAAAGCAGAAGACTGGGCAGTGGATGAGGAGAAACATATAGGTTTAGAAATATGAATTAAGCTGCATCAACTAATCAGTTTGTTGGGAATAGCAACAAAAGAGAAGAGGACAGGAACACTCAAGAGTGCTCCTGGGTTACAATGAGCTTGGACAGCAGGGATAGTGGTCACCTCCAGGGAACACTTGTAGTCAGTGGCATGTTTAGCATACTTGACACCCAGAGGGGATCACTTTTTAATACTGCTGTCCTTTATATAGCAAAATCATTGTCAGTAATAATTATGTAATGATCAGTAATAGAGCTATTATTTTTGATTCATTCTCTGGTTTTAAAACAAGAAAATAACTATCAGAAAGGATAAATTGTAACTTTAAATATATCATTTAAATTCAGTACAATATTTTACATACGAATTAAAATTTGCACTTAACCAAACAAAAATATCATACCTCACAGTTTGTACTGTTTCAATATAAATTTTAAACACAATTAAACTTCACATAATCATATAGAATGATCAAATGTCTCCGTAATTAAAGTTGGGTTAATTTGTCCTTACATCACTGGGCTACATTGTTTCTTTAGAATCTACTGTTTAAATGCAGGAATATGTAATAACACAGGAATTGGAGACAAACCTTTCGAAACAAACTTGGATATTGAATTGTTATGATCTTACTTTAGAAACTAAGATGTGTAGCTGAGGCCAAGTACGTTGGCGCCAACTGTATAACTGGAAGTTCTCTGAATTAATTTTTCACGTAGAACACAATGTTTATTAAAATATAAGTAATAAAAATGTGCTAAACTGAACCTTACATATATACTGTTAAAACTCAACAGTAATCACAGCAATTGTTTAGAACTTCAATTCTCAATGTTTTGGGGGATGAATATTTTACCATTGATATGATTTAGAATTGCCATGCATGGTGATAATGAAGAGCAGATTAACTTTTATTGGCTTTATTATTGCATTTGAATTCTCTATGGATATTGCATCCTGCTTCTAGCCAGCGTCCCCACCCTTGGTAGTCGCTGCTGATGGTATGAGGACATTGCCTGAGATTAGTCATTTTATCATAAGTTCAGGAATGCTGAGGTAGAAGCTCAGCATTCCTGGAAAATATTCAGAAAAATCCTACACAAAGAGATGAAAGAAACGTCTTTATACTTCCAGAATTTGTAGATAAACCCAGTGGATACTTTTAAACATTCTCCTCTCCCTTAGAGCTACCTTGTTCCTAAGAGTGCACTCCTCTCCCAACGACCTAACTGTGGAGGTAACTGTACTTGTTCATAATGCAGGATGTTCAGGGAAGGGGTCTCAGAAAAGGTAACAATGACCTTTTAAATCATATCTCCTTTCCCCCATTCGATTCTCCACTGACTATATTGTGTTTCATTTAATTTTATATACACAGAGTTTGAAAAGTTACTAGCATAGTGCTCCAGCTGAAAAAGAAAATAAAAAGAGGGACCATAAACCTGGGTATGGGCAACTGGGAAAGGTAAAGGCAGAGAAGATGGAGATGAAGCTAACAGACTCATCTGTTTCAGGCTAAGCTAAGGCACAGCTGTGACCATGTCCTATGACTAAGTCCTATGACTTCTCATACATGGGAGCAGCGGGCTTCAGCATAGAATGTGGAATTCTGAAGGTGCATTGTGTTAGAAGTTAATATCAAAGCTTCTCTTTTTATTTAGTTTTTCCTTAAACATTTTCTATTTTTGTATGTTTTATCATGAACATAATGTGTATTATATGTTTATAGTTCATTAACTACATTTGAATATAAGTTGAATTATTTTTAATTCTTGATGTATCTGGGAAAAAAAGGAGACCAAAAAATAAGTTTCCAGAATGTGTTTGGCTAAAATTGAGGAACTCTCTGATGAGGCAATGAAGTGCTGATCATTTTTTATATTCCACAGAAATGAATCTTGTCGATTCCTGTGCTTTAGATACTACATTATAAATTAGTCAAAGTGATATTGGACATAAAAATTGAGAATCCAGATTTGTTTTCTCATTCAGAGGGGAGGCTGACCTACCCCTGAATAGAGATTAGCCATAGGTTCTTCTGGTGATAGAATAAAATGTCCCCAAGAAATGATGTTGGAATCTGGGCAAGGGTTGTATAAAACCTGATTAAGACCCAGAGCTCTGCATCATCAAGCAGAGAAAAAAAAAAAAACGGGTTTGTAAAACTTGACGAGCTGATGCTTTCAATTAGCTGTGAAACCATAAAGGATCCTTACTCATCAAGATTTCAATCAGGTACAAGTCTCTTAAAGAAGATTGCATTCCAGTTGCAAAAGGAGTGCCCTAGGGTGGCTGAGTGGATTGATGTGTCCAGTATTATTGTTTCTTAGAATGCTGGAAAATGTCTAATAAAGGCAACAGTTTTTCCTGGCAGTATTCATTGTAACGTTAGTCTTGGTAATACTTGGCTAACTGGTTCAGCTGTTAGATGTGCACAAAAGCAGACGTGAGAGAGATACTCGGTGAAGAATGATTACAAGAATGGACACTGGGGAAGGGATAATGAGAGAAGAGGGATGGGAGAAGGAGAGAATGGTGAAAGGAGGTGAAAAGAA